GAATTTCTCCTGGCTATTGGAAGTAAGGGGTTCATAATTTTTCAGTAAAGTGTTCCAGCTTTGTAATTTGTAGTTGTTGCTTTTTAGAAACAATTTGTTCTGAAGACAAAGGTCCTACTATTAGTCCCGTAATCACTACTCAACTACCAACTCACATACCTTCAACTACTGTTGTTACAACTACCAGTGTACCACCCTCACTAAAACCAGAAGTTGGACACTACAGTGTAAATGGTTCATCTGGGATGTGCTTACTTGCTTCTATGGGTCTGCAACTTAATCTTACCTACAGTGCACCAAATAAGGTATATAACTTTTTAATATACTTTTAGACTTTCCAGAAGATCAGATCCTTGCAACTAGAGCATCTTTTTAAAGCCTCATCACTCTAAGTAGTAGTTCTAGCTCTAGTTCTTCTCTGTACATGTATTCTGTACACGTAGAACATTTTTCCATAGCTCATTTCCATTTATTTTTATTAAATTTAGAAACTTCCCATCTCATACTTCCCAACTCTGGGCGGTATTCAAGTAAAATAATAATATTGCTGTATCTATATTTGTGTTACATATAGTATATCTTAATAAGATAGCTTTGAGAAGTTTATTTTCAACTTTAAAACAAAGTTTTAATTATATTGCAAGCTTAGAATGGTTGAAACAATTGCTTTCAACTGTGAATATTATTAAAAAACTTTAATCAGACTACACTATGGTGCAAAATGCTGTATTCGCCTTATATAAATAATTGTGAGATGTATAACAGTTCTTTACTGTTTGGATAAATATAATTGAATTAAAATAGTACATAACGATAATTGCTACTTTTTCTTCTATGTGAAGCTCAAACTTTCTTTCACAATGTTTTTTTTTTTAAGACTGTTCTTTCAAAAGTGTTGAATATTCCACCAAATGCAGTTTCTTCTGGGAAGTGTGATAACAGCACAGTTACTTTAAACTTAAGTTCTGGGAGCACCAACATTTCTCTCCATTTTGCACAGGTAAGCATAATTCAATGTACAGCACATTAAGTAAGCACATGACTTTAACTTACAACTTCCTGCCAGCTTCTGACAAAATTAATGGGGAAGCTGGAAGAAGTCATAAATCCTGGGAAGCTTGCAAGCAGACCAATGGAGGAGTGATTTCCACTGAGTACAACTATATGGGGGATGTTTGCAGTGGTCTGGCATGCATAAGCACCACCAGGCCGGGTTGGTGGTGGTGGTGGTGGGTGCTGCAAAGAGAAACTATAGGAAAGTAGAGGGAGCAAATTCAACCTCTGCCAGCTTCCCCATTGATTTTGCTTGTGGGAAACTGGCAAGGATGATTGCAAATGATAATAGCAGGATACTGCAGTCATCACAAGTGTGAGCCAGTAGCCAAGCCCTTGGATTGTGATCACGTGATTGATTGAGGGTGCTACAATGGCTGGTATTTGGGGGACCATTTTTAAGTACTGTTTATTCTGCATCATGATAACTTTGAACAGTCCCTGAACAAGTGGACTTTTACAAAAGATTATCTGTAAAATAAAATTTAAAGTCTGTCAACAGATAACTAAAGGTTCTTAATCTGCAGATTGTAGTATATTTCTAAAAAGTTTTAATTACTGCTACTAGACATTTGAATATAATTTTTCAAACTTCTCACATTAGGCATGTTTCCTCTGAATTAAAAACTGCAAAGTATTTGAACTGCAAACATTTAAGTTAAAGATAAATGAAATTAATAAGTCATTAAATCTTTTTTTTTTAAGAATTCAAGTACTGAGAAGTACTTTCTTCATGGCATCCGCATAACTGCAGATCTTCCTTCTGAAGCTACAGGTAAGAATTAAATTCCTTTATAAAATGTTAATATTCTAAAGGTTTAAAAAATACATAGTATGTTTTAAAAGTTTAAACTTCTCAATTAAATTCCTTTCACATTTCCTAAATTAGCACTAATGTACATTATTCCTTTTCTCCAAATGATCTACCGAATCGTTTAAAAAAAAGTATTTAAGCCGTAGGGTCTTTGACCAAATTGTCAGTCATGAGTTGATGGTTTCTAACTAAATAAATAGACCACTTTTGAACTTACTGTTTGATGGAGGGCAGAACATCAGTAGCAATGGTTGACTGCTCACTTTTAGTTCAGTTCTACATCTTGCTCTCACTAGTTTTTTAAGTTGCTTTTAATTTGGATTGTTTCTGTAAATCTTTTGCAGAAAAAAATATCAGTGTGGCCAACAATAGCCTAAGTGCGCTAAAAGCTACAATTGGAAAATCTTACAAGTGTGTGGCAGAAGAGATAATTCAGGTTTCAAACAAAGCTGCTCTCAATATATACAATGTTCAAGTTCAGGCTTTCAAGATTTCAGGATTCAAATTTGGAGCAGGTAAGGTCTATGAATACAGATTTAAAACATACTGTAGCTTATTGCAAATACGCATTCCTTAGAAGCAATTGAAATGTTTTGTTTAAATGTATTTTTAAGCAATTTAGGCCTATGTTCTTTCAAAGCAGTATTGAAAAAAGTGTTCTAAGAGGCAACACTGCAATTCCCGTGGCATGTAGACAAATTCTACATTAAAAAAAACAAAAAACAAAATGGGGAATTGAAATTAATAGTCATTTGATTTTTCTCTTAAGAAATGGCACGTTTGTGGTAAATAAAATATCTTTTTGCCATTTCAAATTGGAAACTAACTCTGTGCCTTGTTTCTTCTGGAAAGTAGAATCTGGCCAGGTAGAAAACTTCAATTTTTGAAAATCAAAATAAATTTTATATGGCAGAACTGCCTAAAGACAAGATAAGGACTTCTACCACTAGGAGGATTAGAAATTTGTACATTTTATTTGATCATTGGCAAGTGAAGTGTCAAATTGCATTTCTTTAATTTGAATGGAGATGGCTTTTTTCCAAACAGATAACACCTAGGCTGGTTTTACACATTGTTCTAAGGCATACAATTTGTTTGTCCTAATATTATGGCAATATTGTTTTATTCAGTGATTATAACAAATCATATTCTAGTCTAGCACAATATGAGAAGCCAGTCTATTTGTAATCTTAAAGCTAGTTCTCCATGTCAATCTATAGATTTTTACCACTGTATTCTAAGTGGTACAAATACAATTATCTCAGATGGTAATTTTTACATCTAGTATAATAAATAATATTTGTAGTTTGGGTTCAGTCAGATGCTTTGACAAATTACAATAATCCCTTGAAAGAATTACATTGTACTTGCCTTGCTCTTTTATCTGTTTAAAATTGAGTTACATTTATTTATTTTTCTTTCAGTGGAAGAATGTCAGCTGGATGAAAATAATATGTTGATTCCTATTGTAGTTGGTGCAGCCCTTGCTGGACTTGTCCTCATAGTGTTGATTGCATATTTAATTGGCCGAAAGCGTAGCCATGCTGGTTATCAAACAATTTAATGATTTGCACTGAATTAAACCAGCATGGAAGAACAGCAGTTGCAAGAAGCAGAAAATTGATTCCCCTCCCCATCTTCTCCTCAGTTAGATTTATGAGGGAGCACAATCTTTTCCTTACAACTGTTTCTTGCAGTATCTGCTTTACTAAATGTGAAATCCATCTTGTGGCATTTAACGATGCACAAAGGATAACTTTAGTTCTGTTTAATTTTGCTAATGGGTTAAATATTTGCCCATCTAGAAACAGGCTGAAATTTTATGAATGCTTTTCTGAATTGGCATGGTTTATGTCAACTACTTAAATGAGGATGATATAGTTACTTCATACTCCACTTAAATTCAGATTAATTGTATTTAACAAAGGGAAATTTCCACTTTCTGGTACTACCAACCTGTGCTGACCTACGTTTTACTGCATTTACAGTAATAATTGACCAACCTCTGCTATTCCCACTTTGCCTCTACCTAGGTGTGTATCATTAATCTTTAAATGCTAAGCTTGGTATATGCAAAGTGTGAAAATAAAATGTGGCTAACTCTTGATATATTTTTGGTCTGTCAGCTTAGTAGGAGCTGGCCCTTTTTTACATGAAAATGGGTGTTACTTTATTTTTGGTAAAGTGAATTTCAGTCTCTTGTTGAAAGTTCAAAGGAGATCCTGTTTCTGCACATGTGTACAATAAATTTCAATCTGCTAATTCTTGCTTTGATTCTGGCTGGGACTGTACACTGCAAGGATCAGTTATGAATGCATTGCCTGTAACAATGCTAATAAAGACTTTTCTGTATGTTCTCAGTGTTCTTTTAAGCAATTACAAAGCTGCTTTGATTTTGAAGTACATTTGTAAAGTTTGGAGGGTAACACTCTTACCTCAGATTCTTAGTTGTAAACTATAAGCCTAAAATATTAATCCATGTTTTGTATTTCAAATAATCTTCCTTCAGTCCTTGCATAGTTGATTTTTTTCCTTTGGAAAAGGGTGGGGTGGAAGAATTTACCATTAAACAAGTGGGTATGGAATTTCCTTGTCACACCTGGACCTGAGCTCTTGTGTTTGCTATAATTTATCCATAGAGATTCCCCCACAATGCCACAGCAAGCTAAAATATTACAAAGTAGTAGGTTGAATAAGGAAAAAGAACACAACTTGGTTATTTCTTGATAGAATAACTTTCCCATTAGCAGCCCATGGGAGTACATAGGAGACTGCAGCTGTTGTACAATTGACAGTTCTGGGATGAAGCAGATTATTCAGGGCACAACTTCACATGAAGCATTTTGCTCGCTACCAGTTGCATGCAGAAAAGTAGAAAGAAACATAAAAACATTTGTTTTCTAATTTGCTGTAAGGTGTAACTGCTGGGTTTTTTTGATTCTATCAAAAGTTCACTATTCAGAACATAACTGTGTGTGTGCATATAAATAAAATAATCTCATTTAGCAGAGCTAAACAATAGGAAAAGGTAGATATGCTGTTCTTAAAAAAAAGAGAGATTAAGTGGAGCACTCTTTTCTAAACAAGGATCTCTACTTAAAGTCCAGAGCCTTAACATGGTTGCAATTCAAAAAATGATAGCTTCAAATATACTTTATTATATAGTTTTGTATTCTGTTATTACAAAAATGTCTGAAAATATATAGTCCATTTGTTGAAAAGGGATTACATCTACATTACATTTTATTTACATAATAATTAAAGTGTTTGTGCTTTTTTTTTTTAAATAAAAAAAATCCCATTGAACACATGAAAGGCTGGGGCTAATTAGTGAAGTGTCAATGGCAGCCTGAGAAAAATTGTATCTGAGCAAGTGAAGGAATGTTCATTTATACTGAAGCAGTCAAATTTGCTCTACACGTATCTCGTAGTTTGTTTATTGTAGTCATTCGCAGACTTCCAGGTTCCGTAAATATTTTCTAGAATTGAAAATTAAAGTATTAGCATACACTACAATGCAAGGAAATATCTGAGTGTGTGTTTCATGGTACAAAACGAGCAGAATCACATTGATCAGAAAGTGCAATGAGTCAAATCTCTCTAGAATGGGATTCATCAATTATTAAATAATTATAAATTATTACATTTACAAAATTCCATTCAGATTATTACATATGAGCATTAAGAAATATTAAAGATTCACTTGCAGTATATTAGTACATGAAAACTAGTGGGTCTTGTACCAATTTGGTCAGATAGATATAGGGCTAATTTTCCTCCATAGCTAAGTTTCCATGTTTAGACGCAGTCCACTTCTAAATGCCAGTTAAATTTATGCTGCAATTGTAACTTTCTCAAGGTAATCAGGCTGGCCAAAAATTAGATGGGTCTTAGAACTGACTCCATCAAAAGTTTAGAGAATTTATATCTAACTCCAGAGATTTTTAGTTGACTCAAAATAAGGACTTGTGCTTAGGAATAATTGGAACATTATATTATATTCAAAAATACTGAGTTTCAAAAAAAAAAAACCTATAAAGAAAACAAGTAAAGCAGCAATCTTATGCATGAAAACTCCTAGCTTTCAGAGTGAAAATGGATAAAGACGACATTGTCAATATCCATAAAATCATATATGGTTTATATGGCATGCAGGGCCGGATTTTCCTATAGGCTAACTAGGCTTCAGCCAAGGGCCTCAAGATCAAGAGGGGCCTACACAGTGGTGGGATTCTGGGGGTTCTAGGGGGTTCGGCCGAACCCTTTGTTAAATTGCTGGCTCGCCCCGCCCCTTGCCCCGCCCCTCCGCACTATTATTTATTTCCAATAAATGGGGCGGGCGAGCCAGCAATTTAACAAACGGTTCAGTGTTTTTTTGTAATTTATTGGCCCCGAACCGTTTGTTAAATTGCTGGCTCGCCCGCCCCTTGCCTCCCACCCGCGCGGCACCAGCCTACCGTAGCCAGGGGTAGGCAATTGTGGCTCTTTTACAGCTTGGCTGTCTCAGGAATTCTGGGAGTTGAAGGCCACAGGTTGTAAAAGAGCCACAATTGCCCACCCCTTCCCTAGCCTGAGTTCCGCTGCCTGGGATCCACGTGGGCTGCCACGTGCTTCCCCACCGGCTCCGGACGCAAGAGAGCAGGATGGAGAAAGCAGCTTCAATGCCTTCACTCACCCTCACTCTCTGCTCTGTTGGATCGCCGGCCGTTCGCTTAACCCGCCCACTCCCCATCTATTGCTGCCTCCGCAGTCCCAGCTGATGGCTAGAGGAAAAAAAAACTTCAAATTCTTGCCGCGGGGCTTCAAAGGGCCGCCCTAGAGCCAGTGGTGCAGCCGAACCCTTTGTTAAATTGCTGGCTTGCCCCGCCCCTCCGCACCACTATTTATTGCCAATAAATAGTGGTGGGCGAGGGGCGGGGGAGCCAGCAATTTAACAAAGGGTTCGGTGTTTTTTTTTGTAATTTTATTGGCCCACGGAGCTTCAGCTTAGGCTAATTAGCCCTTGCTTAGATCGGCTCCCGACCCCCAGCTGATTTGCTCTCAGCTGTTTTGCTCAGAGCTCTGCTGCTTGCTTGGAAAGATTTTTTTCCCCCTAGTTATACTGAAAAACGAAAGAGAAAGTAAAGGAGGCTGTTGGCTTTGCACGTTTGAAAATTAGGCAGGCAGATTTCTTTTTCCTCGCCAAAAAAGGTAGGTGCAAACAACATGAAATTTAGGGAAAAAGAGGAGATTTTAAAACACAAAAGAAAAAAAGCTCTATTTAACTAGGGAATTGTAATAATTGAGATACTATTAATTGTATATTGTGTTGAAAGCAGAAATGGTTAAGTTGTGGTTTGGAGGAATATATGGGGGAAATTATTTGGTTTATTATTATTGGTAAATATAATTAATTGATTTGTAAGAAATTGGATTGCATGGAAATAATTGGAATATTCATGTTCATATTGATTAATATACAAAAAAGGTAGTTATATAACTAATTGATTTATATTAAAATGTTGAATTCATATTAAACAACTGTAATATTACATAATTAACCAATGTGAGGATGGATATAAAAATAGATGACAATGGGAAGGGGTATAATATAGAATAGAAGGGAAAAATTGAATTTGATTAAGATTAGAGATGAGTATGAAGGGTAATATTGGTTTTTTACAAAAATAGATGAGGAATAAATATGGCAAAAAGGAAATATAGAAATTGTAAATTTAATTGAAATGACTAAACACTGTTTAAATTTATGAACCGGCCAAATACTCTGTTCAAAGAAAATACATTGTATGTTTGTATGTGTGTTTCTAATTATTGCTATTTATTCATATTTGTTCTCTTTTACTCTTTAAAGTTTAACAATTCATTCTTTATCTTAATATCTTTATATTTGTTTGGGGTTGGCTTTCTTCCCTTTCATCTTTTTTATTGTACAGCAATCTTTCTCCTCAAACCTACCACCTCTCTCTTTTCTTTCCCTCTTACTTTCTCTTCCTCCCCTTCTTCTTCTCCTCCCTACTTCCTCTTCCTTTCTCCTTCTCCTCCTCCCTTCCTCCCTCTCTTACCCTCCCTCCTACTCTAATTTCCCTTCCCTTCCTTCATCCCTCTCTAATGCTGTATCCTTTTATGCATATGGACTACTCAGAGGGCTGAAAAAGTTATTTCTGACTGGTCCTCGCACTTTTGACCAGTCCTCGAACTTACGACTGTCCTCACATTTTACGTTTTTGCCCTATCTTGTCACCATGGTGAAGAGAAGCAGTTGTGAAATGAGTGACATGGTTGTTAAGAATGCTACAATGGGCATAAATGATGACCAGTCATAAGTGCGAAGACCGGTCAAAAGTGCGAGGACCTGTCAGAAATGACTTTTTTCAGCCCTCTGGGTAGTCCTTTTGTGCATATGGAGTACTCAGAGGGCTGAAAAAGTTATTTTTGACTGGTCCTCACACTTTTGACCAGTCCTCGAACTTACGACTCTCCTCACATTTTATGTTTTTGCCCTATCTTGTCACCATGGTGAAGAGAAGCAGTTGTGAAATGAGTGACATGGTTGTTAAGAAAGCTGCACCGGCATAAATGTGAGGATGGTCATAAGTGTGAGGACCAGTCAAAAGTGCGAGGCCCAGTCAGAAATGACTTTTTTCAGCCCTCTGAAAAAAGTCTATGCACATAGCCACGCCCACCCGGTCACATGACAAGCTACCCATGCCTACACAGTCACGTGACCAGCTAGCCACGCCCACCCAGTCACATGATTGCCAAGCCACACCCCAACTAAGCCACGCCCACAGTCCTGTTGTTAAAAAAAAATTGAATCCCACCACTGGTGAAAGGGCCTCATAAGTGGAATAGCCTAGGGCCTCTTTCAATCTAAATCCGGCCCTGAGAATATCTCTCAGGTTTCCAGATATTTTTTATTATTCAGTATTTATTTATGAAACATGGGGCTGCTCCTCATCTGTGAAATAAATTATATGGCTGTTCACATTGTGTGAAGCTAATTGAAACTAAGATGACACTTAACATCCCTAGAGGAAAATCATGAATATAAATGAATGGTAGGCTTTACTGAAGCAAAGTGACTTTTCAAAAGTAAGGGCTCTTGTTGGGTTAAAAATAGTTCCAGAAGTTCCATAGAAAGAATACCAATAAAAGTAAAATGGGATCTATTATCTGTATATCCTTAGCTGTTTTGGTTATGCAAAGATGAGAGAAACGGTGACTCTACAATGCTATGGATCATTTCCAACACGATCTGTGCCCACTGCCAAGAGTTAGATCCTGATCAGTTCAAGATTGTCTCACTTTCCATCCTTCCAAAGTCAATAAAATGAGGATACCAGATCGTTGGGAGCAATATGCTGACACACTAAAACGCTCAGAGTGCTGTAAAGCACTAAGAAGCAGTATATAAATCTTAATGCTATTGCTAATTTTATTCGGGGCAGGGTGATAGTTGGATGGAGCTGTTTTGTTTTACATATTTGTCTGAGCAGCTCATGATCTCTCTTTTTTTTTTTAATTATGAGCCTCCCAGGGTTGTTAGGCATTGTGCAGCCTACACATTGTATGACTAAATACAACGTATTTCAGGCTTAAACAATCTTATGAACAACAATATCAATTTTTATAGCAGATTTATAGTTTTCTAGGGTGGCACTCACCTGCATAAATATGTGACACTCAGTTACAAATGGTCCTGTAGTAATCTGCTTAAATTTTTCACAGATTTCAGGAAAATTTTTTGCTTCCAAAATGAAATCTTGATGTTGCTTAATTAATGTTAAGGCCACGCGAAAGATTATTTTTGATCCTTCATAAAACAAACAGTCCCAAATTCGGAGCACAGTCTGTAGAAGAATGAAATTAGTTACTGAGTGTATGAAACACATGCACTAGAATTTGGATAATTATATAAAAGGCAATTCAAGTTGGTGTCAGTTCTCACTTGCCTCTACTGGAAGAATGTCAATGAACAAACATATAAACCAACGGGATGCCACCAAAGTCCACAAGTTGCCATGTTTTTCCATTAATTCTGCTACAGCTGGATTCTTCATTTTCACAAGGTGTCCAAGAACATCTTGATCTATTTTCAGACCCATCATTTCAGGACTATAGTAATCTTCAGAAAGATAAAACAAAAAATTATGTTATCACAATACAATTTATTGTATTAAATATATATATTCTGTAAGAGATATCTAGCAGTAAGAAGGATTTCTCCTTCCAAAGCTAATTTGCATCTTGTCTGGTCCATGGGTCGTCCTGTGAAATTATGAAATTCTACTAGGACAGCTGAGAAATAGTATTAAAAATTTTTGACTGAGGACAATTTGCAGGAAAAACACACTCCAATTTCCTCTCTTCATGGACATGAACAGAGAAGAAAGGCTAGCAAGAACAGATAATACTGGAAATAGTTATTTTTTATTACCAGTAGCTGGATCTCAACCAGCATGAAATGAATTTCCAGTCTGACAAATTTTGAAGTTATAGATGTTGAGTTTCCATAAAACTACAATTTAACATCTTAAGGAAAGTATGTTCTATATTGAGGAATACACTGGCATGGCACATCTAGCTTCAAGGAGCACACACACAAAAATATTCCATTGTAAATCATTTTTCTCCATACTGTTATGAGAAAATAAAATGGTAACTCCAATTCTTAATAAAGACACCAGATGGCGCTACATTACTTGGCATACTTTGCCATGCAGTAAATTCCAGGTTTCCCTAATCTTTCCAGGATCTGTTGAAAAAGAACAGCAGTTGCTGCTTTCAGTCTCCAAAAGCAGAGCAAAAACCACAGACCAAAGCTCTTTGCATGAATAATGAGGCATTATTCCAAACCAGTAGAAATGCGACAAGATCAAGGTTAGACATGCCACTACTTTGCTTTCTTGATTGTACAATAAGCCAACTCTAGAGAAGGATTTTTTTTCTTTAAAACGTTTATATAGCTGTCCATCTTCTAATCGAAAAGTTAAAACAACATATAAAATCATGTTAAAATTATAAAACTAAACACATTAAAAACAACAAAAATCTGGTGCCAAATCAAGCTTCTAAAAATATGATCCCAAGCGCCTGAGGGAAATGCTAGAGCAACAAAGCTTTATGAACTGCTCTGGAGGGTAGAGGCCTGTTCCAAGGGGCAGGGGCAGCCTCAGAAAAGGCACACTTCCTAGTTCCTATCAGATAGCAATATTCAGGGAAGGGATTAGAAATTGACCTGATAGAATGGGTAGCTGTCCCTTAGTCCCGCAGATGGCCTGGCTCTGTGCCACATGGAGCTTTAAAGGTGATGACCAGCATCACCTTTAAACAGAGGTGGGCAAACCTGGGGGGGGGCATTACTCTGTGCAGTGCTGCAGTCTGGGTGGTCTTCAAAATTGAAAATTATAAAAAGAAAACATTACAAGATTTCATTCTGCAATAATGTATGGCATTTCACTACATCACATACCTACATGGAACATTGCCTGTGGGAAATATAAAAATCTAGTGGAATACAGTGATGAAGTATTTCTGAATGCTTCAGTAACAAAACTTTCAAATACATAATTCTGGGTTGCATCTGTTTGCCATTCTCAAGTAATCTGCTGCAACAAAAATTCCATTTCAATATTTTACTGCACTCAATTGGCCATCTTCACCTGTATCTTCAATAAATTGCTAGAGATGTGCTATGTTCCTTCTTGCTTCAAACGCTCTGCTATTATACCAGTGCCGAAGAAGACCACCATCAAGGAACTGAACAACTACAGACCAGTTGCTCTAACATCTGTAGTTATGAAAACCTTTGAAAGGCTAGTGCTGTCTTACTTGAAAACCATCACTGATCCACTGTTAGACCCCCTGCAATTTGCATACCAAGCAAATAGATCAACAGATGATGCTGTTAATATGGCTCTGCACTACATCCTACAACATCTTGAATCTCCAAAGACTTACGCAAGGGTCCTCTTTGTAGTCTTTAGTTCAGCATTCAACACCATCATTCCAGACATTCTTCTAACTAAGCTAAACCAGCTAGCAGTACCTGAACACACTTGTAAATGGATCATAAGCTTCCTAACAGACAGGAAGCAGCAGGTGAAGCTAAGCAGAATCACATCAGATACCTGTACAATTAGCACAGGACCCCCACAAGGCTGTGTGCTCTCTCCACTTCTATCTATATACTAATGACTGCATCTCAAATGATTCATCTGTTAAACTACTGAAGTTTGCAGATGACACAACAGTGATCAGTCTCATTCTAGACAATGATGAATCTGCATACAGACGGGAGGTTGAACAACTAGCCTCGTGGTGTGACCAGAACAATCTGGAACTGAACACTCTCAAAACAGTAGAAATGGTGGTGGACTTTAGGAGAAACCCTCCCCTACTACCACCTCTTACAATACTAGACAACACAGTATCAACAGTAGAGACCTTCAAATTTCTAGGTTCAAATTTCTCACAACCCAACATCAAAAACGTCATCAAAAAAGCACAACAAAGAATGTTCTTTCTGTGCCAACTCAGAAAGCTCAAACTTCCAAGGAGCTGCTGACACAGTTCTACAGAGCAATTATTGAGTCTTCATCTGCACCTCTATAACTGTCTGGTTCAGTTCTGCAACCCAACAAGACAGACATAGGCTTCAGAGGATAATTAGAACTGCAGAAAAAACAATTACTGCCAACCTGCCTTCCATTGTGGACCTGTATACAGCACGAGTCAAAAAGAGGTCTGTGAAAATATTTACAGACCCCCCGCATCCTGGACATAAGCTGTTTCAACTTCTACCCTCTAAACGACGCTATAGAGCACTGCACAACAGAACAACTAGACACAAGAACAGGTTTTTCCCGAGCGCCATCACTCTGCTAAACAAATAATTCCCTCAACACTGTCAAACTAGTTACTAAATCTGCATTACTATTAATCATCTCATCGTTCCTATCACCCATCTCCTCCCACTTATGACTGTATTACTGTAACCTTGTTGCTGGTATCCTTAAGATATATATTGACTGTTTCTCTATGATTATCATTTAGTGTTGTACCTTATGATTCTTGAGGAATGTATCTTTTCTTTTATGTGCACTGAGAGCATATGCACCAAGACAAATTTTCCTTGTGTGTCCAATCACACTTGGCCAATAAAGAATTCTATTCTATTCTATTCTAAACTGAGACACAAAGCAACAGTTGCATAAATTACATGCCACTTTGAAGACTAATACTGTTCCTTTAATGTTAAGACAATAGAGGTTCCCAATGTTTTCACTTCAGAGTGTCTTTAGTGTATTAGTAATTTTTTTAAAGCATCCCTAACTTCTAATTACACATGGTCCTATAGATATCAAATATCACTGTGTTATTTCAGAACACCTCTAAGTGTTGGCTGTGTAGCCCTACAATACTCAGCACAACCAGCAGTAGTAGTCTTTCCTTCTACTTATGGGAAGGATTCTTCAGATCTCCAATAACTTTTGTTTATTTTTGTCCCAATCTTTTCCAGCTCTGCCAAACTGTATTTTTCTTATGATGCATGACCAGAACTATGCACAATACTCTAAGTATGATCTCACCATAATTTGCAAATCTACTACATATTTAGGATAATGATGATAGTAACAACACTTGAACATCATTGGGATTGACAAAATTATCATCAGTCAATTGCAAAAGCAATTGAACAGTTTACATCCTGCAACAATTCCTTTAAAACCATCAAACAACATCTGCCTATCCCATTAACAACAACAATTTAAAGGTTGATATTTTCATCGGACAGTCAACAGTGACTCCCAGTCACCTTCATTAGTATTTATTACCAGTCCATATTCCATCAATGTATTAAAAATGGATTTTTTGGGTGTGCACCAACACGTACTACTTTATTTATACTGACTCCATTTGCCATTTAGAAGGCCATTTAAGTTTGGAGAGATCTTTTTAGAGCTCTGCACAACTGCGTTTTGATTTTACCACCTTGAATAGTTTGGTTTTATTAGCAAACATGGACACCTCACAGTCCAACAGGAGCTCCAGATTACATAAGAATTGAAAACCACCACTTTCTGTATTATGTGCTTTTCCCCAGTACGAGAACCGACCTTTTAATCCAGAGGTCTTCAAACTTGGCAGCTTTAAGACTTGTAGACTTCAACTCCCAGAATCCTTCTGGGAGTTGAAGTCTACAAGTCTTAAAGCTGCCAAGTTTGAAGACCTCTGTTTTAATCCAACCATTTCCATTTTTAACAAATGCCAATCTGGAGAAATACTTATTCCATGGCAGCTCAGTTTGATCAGAAGTCTTTGAAGAATTTTTATAACGGCTTTTTTAAACCCACATGAACAATATTAACTGGACAATCCTTATCTCCCTGAATTTTTATATCCTTCTAAATGTTTGAAAATTTAGTGAGACAAGACTTCTTGCAGAAGCCATGCTTTTTGGCAAATCTTTCTTCTGCATATTCGCTAACTTCTTCTTTAATATTCCTTTGAGTTATTTTCCTTGAAACAGATGTTAAACTAATGGGATTATTTCCTTTACTGATCCTCAAAGACATACAAACTGGGTCACAACGGCTATTTATAAACCCTGAGAATGGAAGCTAATGTTAAATAAAAGCTTTATATGTTTTTTAAAAAGAACAGCAATTTCATTATTAGGTTCTTGAAGAATTTCTGATTGGATATTATCTGCACCTGCATATTTATTTTTTATTTGTCCATTTAGTTTATGACTTTCTCATTGTTTTTATCTCAATTCACCTGACATTCCAAATAGTCAGCTTTGGTTCAGAAATCTGTTTTAAGCAGTGAAGATAAAGGAAATAAAGGATTCAATTTCAATTTCCCTATCCTTCTTTAATATATCCTGTTGTCAACTTCCTACTCTGAATATAGTTGAGGCCTTCTTCTTTTCTTTTTTAAAGAAAGTGCTTTTACAAATTAATACTGTCTACATAGGTTTAGACTTTTTCAAACTACAGAATCCCCACCCAACCCCTGCTATGCTGTCCTCATGGGTAGTTGAGGATATTCCTGGAACAGTTGAGTGAAGAACACTAGGAATATTTGTCTGAAGTATATAATCCCAGCAGAGTCAGCCAA